TGTGATTCCAGGATTCCACCAACACCTGGCCAGCACCTGGCCTCGGGGAGCTTCTCCCTGAAGGGCTCTGGTGTCCTTTGCCATCTGACAACCTGACTTGATCCCTTTCCTAACTCTGGATTCGGTCCCACTGCTCCCCCTTCATCATGGGTTAGAGTCATAATCTATGCTCTTTCCTTTAATTTCGTATCTTGAATGTTTTCCTAGGGCCCTCCTTCACATCTTCCTGCTTTTCTTCCTTTCTAGTGTCTTCCCTGCACTTTTTAGCTCTCTCCTATCCCATCCATTCTCAGGGTCATATCTCCTCCTCTGACCGAGCGTGAGAACAGACATTTTCTTTCTAAGAGCTTTGTTTAGTGTTTCATACTTAACCTCTCCATTTTAGAGGTCACTTGCACTGGTTTCTATTACTCTTGAAAAATGTTTACGAACCAACATTTACGTTTTAACACAATTGTTTTTACCACAATCATAATAAAATACATTAAAAGTCTCTAGAGGCCTCACTGAAATGTGATATATTGCAAGCACATTGTGGCAGTGTCTGAAGAGGCTCATTGCTCCAGAAGGTCACTGAGAGAAAAGGTGCTTTGGGCAGCATCTGCCATCGTGTGGAGTGAATAGTAAGCATCTGAGCTCTTACCTGCTGCAAAAGTCCTAACTCCAGTGGCTCTGATTAGATCAGCTGCTTTTCCAGGGAAACAAAGAACTATTTTGGATAGTTTTAATGACTGGGTTGCTTAATTCACCTCCATTCCTTAGAAAACTGCCTCTCACACCAACAGTTCTTTCATGAATATAATAACATTTCCGTCATCTAAAATATGATTATTTATACATGAGTAATTAATAGTCTTATGAGTGAGCCTCCACAACAGGTATGACTCATGTTTGGCATTTATATAGCTTTACTGTGACTCAGTAACAGAGCCTGGGCTTTAGGTCTGAATTGCCTGGGTTTGAATCCTAACTCGGCTGTGTATTAGCTGTGTGGCCTTAGGCAAGTTACTTAACTTCTCTGTGCCTTAGTTTCCTCATCTGTAAGATGGATATATTAATAATAACCACATCATAGGGTTGCTATGAAATTTAAATAAGTGAAAATACACAGCACCTGGCACTGAATGAGTCCGGCAAGTATTACTGGAGCTGTAAGAACCTACAAATTAGTTGGTGAAAGGATAAAAGAGGAAAAAAAAGTTTGTACTGAGCAAAGACAGACTATGGAGTATGCAGTGCTGTCTGGACCATAAAATGTTAAGAAAATCAAATACTTTTTACATCTTCCCCATTCTATTCTCTATCTTGCAATAATAAAAATAGAGTATCTGCATTTAAACCCTTAAGGGCTGAGGATGCACACTGAAAACTAAATAAACAAATATTTCAGGTAACATTTTTATTGGAGGTCTGCAAGAAGCTGTGAGATACAGGCTAACATTATTCACATGATTATATGCATGTGTGTATGAAAGTGCATACGTGTGTGTGTATGTGGGGGTATATTCTTGAAACTATGTAAATGAGGCCCACCTCAAAGGCCAAGATCACTGGAAATAAGGTGGGGGGGGATATAAAAAATGACACAATTAGTAAAAACTCATGAAACAAAATATTCTTATACAGAATGGAAAAAAATGAAACAGGATATTTTAGTTTAGTAAGCTAATATTTGGTGAGTTTCAAGTATGAATTAATAGGTGAATTTAATAGATAGGGAGTGTCAGTCTAATCAATAAAAATGTACCAATAAAAATGAGTTTCCTGTTTTATTTATGGTTGGGATTTTCAGTGTTCAAATATCTCCAAATATTCTAAGAAGATCCTTCAAATTGTAGGCTGGCATAATTGGATTATCAGCTATGGTGTATAGGATTTCCAGAAATACAAAGCATCACTAATATACAGCAAGTGATTAAATAAAAGCCATTTTATAACTAATGATAGATGCTCAAAGCAAAGCACCATATAGTTTACTAAAACTGTATAGTCCAAGAAGAAAGTCAGATGTCAATTAAAGTCCTGATATTTTTATTGTTGGTTTTTCTCTTGGGGTCAGATTAAAAAGTATACATATATGTTATATATATATATATATATATATATATATATATACACACACACACACACACTATATATATAATATCAACACTAATATCAAATATTAGTACATTTGAATTCATAAACTTGAAAAGAAACTGCCACACAGATTTATTTTACTTCTTTCTAGTGGAAAAACTATTTTAAAAATGTGGGCTGGAATTATAATTGGTCAATGGTTATTTAAAACCATATTGATTGAACCTGGCTGTACCACCAGTTTAAAAAAATAGAATATTTTCATTTTATCCATAGAATACACATTTTAATGTTCTCTACTAGAGGACATTAAAAATCTATGCATAGTAAACATGGTATACAGGAAAACCCACATCTAAATACCAGATTTGTAAAGCAAGGACTAAGGTGGTTATAAAACAGCAGATTTTTATTAGTTATGTCTATTGATATGGTTAGTCAGTTTCAATTTTGAACTCACTAATTACATATTTCTGTTAACTAGAAGCTGCATAAAGCGTTTGTATCAATGGCATAAAAGAAGTTCCCAACTCTCATTTGAATAACCTGTACCAAACTCTCATTTGAATAACCTGTACTTTTGCTGCAAACTGAAAAGATCTGGAAGAAATCATTTCCACTGTGCCCAGAGGGCCATTTTGCTTGTGTAGCTAAAGGACAGGAAAGCACTTAAATCTTTCCTTGATATGCTCACAGTGGGCATCCTTTTTATCAAATATATATTTTTTCTTTTATTGACTGCCCTTGGTTAAAAGCACAGACTTTGGAGATAAACAAAAATACAAAGACGAAATGCCTAAAGTGACTTTAAGATATGCAAATGACAACAAAACCATTTAAATAGGTTATGTCTTTGCTTTCCTTAAAAAGACAACTTAGATGCAATTTAAAATTTCTGAATGTGTAGGGCCTTCCTAGAATTCCAGGCAAGACTTGTTTTGTAGCCTTGGTTCTTTGTTAACATCCCAATTATTATTTTTGCAGTGGTGGGGGGGGTGATCCAAGAATATCTTACCCCCCTTCTCAGGCAAGGGAAACAAAAGCAAAGATAAGCTATTGGAACTACACCAAACTAAAAAGCTTCTGCATGGCAAAGGAAATCATCAACAAAATGAAAAGGCAACCTACTGAATGGTAGAAGATATTTGCAAATGATCTATCCAATTAGGGGTTAAATACAAAATATATAAAGAACTTCTACAACTCAACATCCCCCTAAAACCAAACAATCTGGTTAAAAAGTGGGCAGAGAAACTGAATAGACATTTTTCCAAAGAAGACATCCAGATGGCCAAAAGACACATGAAAAGATGCTCAACATCACTCATCATCAAGGCCATGCAAATCAAAACCACAATGAAACATCACCTCACACCTGTCAGAATGGCTGAAATCAAAAAACACAACAAACAACAAGTGTTGGTGAGGATGTGAAGAAAAAGGAATCCTTGTGCACTGTTGGTGGGAATGCAAGCTGGTGCAGTCACTGTGAAAAACAATACGGAGGCTCCTCAAGAAATTAAAAATAGAATTACCATATGATCCAGTAATTCCACTACTGGGTATTTACCCAAAGGAAACAAAAGCACTACTTCGAAAGGATATATGTGCTCCTATGTTTATTGCAGCACTTACAAGAGCTAAAATATGGAAGCAACCCAAGTGTCCATTGATAGATGAATGGGTAAAGAAGAGGTGGTATATATATATATATACACAATGGGATATTACTCAGGCATAAAAAGGATGAGATCTTGCCATTTGTGACAATATGGATGGAGCTAAAGGGTATCACAATAAGTGAAATAAGTCAGACAGGGAGTGACAAACACCATATAATTTCACTTATATGTGGAAACTAAAAAACAAATGAACAGATAAACAAAAAAATCAGAAACAGTCTCATAAATACAGAGAACCAACCGGTGGTTGCTGGGGAAGAGGTGGGGGAAGGCAAAATAGGCGAGGGAGATTAAGAGATACAAACTTCCAGTTATAAAATAAATAAGCCATGAGGATGAAAAGTAGAGCATGGAGAATATTCAATAATATTGTAACAACTTCGTATGGTGACAGATGGTAACTACACTTATGTTGAGCATTGCATAATATATAGAATTGTTGAACCACTATGTAGAACATCCAAAACCAATATGACATTGAATGTCAACTATATTTTAATAAAAAACGAATATCTTATCCAGTGTCCTCTTCTCACACCAACTCTACTTCTCAAAGGGTCTCTACTCTTTGATACAGCCAAATATTTAAGCCAAAGATCTTCCATGCAACAGAAACTATGAGAATGGTCCATCGTGCCTGTTATCTTTCTGCCATCAATCATATAACCTTCACACATTTTCATTTACATTTTTTGGGGTATGATTATCAATGCTATAATATCCAATCTGTTTTCACACATAACTGGGCACAGAGCTGATCATTTATTCTATTCCATTTCTTATAATGACTATGAGCACCAAGACTAAATTCTCTTTTAGCGTCTAGAGGTCAGGCAAGTTGATGCTTAATATTTTTATGATGATGGCCAAGAGTATTACACATAATTATGCAAAATGGCAATCTGGCCCTGAGGCATTTCATTTTCAAACAACCTTCATGTAATGGCAGAAGGAGAAGAGTGGCCAATCCAATTTCCTGTAGTATGTCCATCTTACTTTTACTCAAAATAGTAATATGAAAATATTCCTAGGATAATTATAGAGCAATAGAAAACTTTCCCTGTTGATAATGGATAAAAATTAAACAAAAGAAAATTTTGCCAACTTAGACTGCCTTTACTTATTAAAATCTATTTTTTTACTTTGAAGCTCTAACTCTTTTAACAGTATCTGTAAGCACATGTTTTACCCTTATTTTTTTAAAATGCAGATTTGAAGAATTCCCCACACATTACTTACTTGTTTAAGCTTCTTTAGATCTTCATCAAGTTCTAAGTTGTCCAAAATAACAGCAACAAACAAACTCAGGAGGATCTATAAAATGGTTAAATAACAATGAAAAAACCCACATGCCGTAAGTATCAAAATATTATATATATATGATATAGACTATCTACCTAAAAATATATACTACATAGAATGCATTAAATGAAAAATGAACATGTAGTTGTGAAGCATTGCATAGGGATTTTAAGGTATTTAGCACAAATATGTTAAAGGAAATGCATACGTTAACTGAAATAAACAATTTAGGATATTAATTTGCTCTATGAAACCGATTTAAATGGAAATTAAGAAAAAAGTTTTTATAACTCAACAGTCCCACTTCTGAGACTATATCCAAATAAAATAATTTGGAGTATTAAAAAGCTTTATATACAAAGGTGCTTGATAGTTATTTGTAATAATGAAATACCAGAAATAGTATCTAACCTTACATAAATAGGTAATACAGTTATGCAGATCTCTATTATAAAATTCACGCAGCCATTACAAATTCCCATTGTGATAGCTAGTCTCCAAGAGGGTCCCCTGGTGTTCACACTCTTGTGAGCCTCCTCCCAAGTTGAATATGGCTGGTCTGTGCAATAGGTTACGAAAATGATTGTGGGTGACTTATGAGACTAGGTGATAAAGACACTGTGGCTTTCAGCTTGCTCTCTCTTGGATCACCCACTCTGGTGGAAGCCAGGTGCCATGTCATGAGGACACTCAAATGGCCCTATGGAGAGGTCCATGTGGTGATGAACCAAGGCCTCCCGCCCTGTGAGTGATCCATCGATCCTCCCACCCTAGTCAAGCCTTCAGTTGACTGCAGCCCCACCAACATTTTGACTGCAAACTCATTAGACATTCTGAGCTAGAAACATCCAGCTCAGCCTGTCCCAGATTCCTGACCTGCAGAAAATATGTGAGAAATAAATGTTTATCCTTGTAAGCTCTTATGGTCCATAATTTGTTATACAGCTAGATAAAGAATGCATTCATGAATTTTAATAGTATTGAAAAAATGCTCACATTGCAATATTAAGTAAGAGTGTACAGGGTAGAAGAGCAAGGAGGTACAAAAAAGAACAATAGAGCGAATGCTAGAAGGAGGTACTTTAGAAATGTTAACGGTGGGGGGCCTGGGTGGCTCAGTTGGTTAAGCGACTGCCTTCAGCTCAGGTCGTGATCCTGGAGTTCCGGGATCGAGTCCCGCATCGGGCTCCCTGCTCAGCGGGGAGTCTGCTTCTCCCTCTGACCCTCTCCCCTCTCATGCTCTCTCTCACTCTCTCTCTCTCAAATAAATAAATAAAATCTTTAAAAAAAAAAAGAAATGTTAACGGTGCCT